TCTGGCAGGAGCCCAAGAAGTCACATTTTTGGGTGAGAGACTATAATGAGAATTTTTTTTGGGGGGTACCGGGGATTGAACTCGGGTCCTTGCGCTTGCAAGGCAGGCCACCAAGCCGCTGAGCTAAATCCCCGGCCTGGGTGAGAGACTATAATGAGAATTTTTTTTGGGGGGTACCGGGGATTGAACTCGGGTCCTTGCGCTTGCAAGGCAGGCCACCAAGCCGCTGAGCTAAATCCCCGGCCTGGGTGAGAGACTATAGACTGAGCCGAGCACAGTAGAATACTCCTGTGATCCTAGTTATTTGGAAGGCTGAGGCAGGAGGATAACAAGTGGGGAGAATGGGCTGGGGAACTTAGCCAGAAAACCTACCCCTGAGACAAGTGCTAAGGAGAAGGTGGGCGTGAGGAGGAGGCTGGCAGCTGGGGAGGTTCAAGGCATTTTGATGCCTCCCCTGTTGGGAGGGTAGGGAGTATTTATAAGAGGACCAGGTTAGCATTTCCAGGGAGCAGGCTGTCTGTCTGCTGTTCTGACACCAAATGGCAGAGACGAGCTATTTAATGTGGTCTGTCTCTCTCATATATTTATATATATGGTTTGTTTCATTTTGCTTTTTGAGACAGCATCTCACTATGTAGCCCAGGCTGGACTCAAACTATCCTGCCTCAGCCTCCTGAGTCCTAGGATTACAGGTGTGCACCACCACCAGGCCTGGTGATCTTTTCTTCCCTACTAGTTTGGGGTCAGTTTTGTGGTCCACAACCAGGTTCTAGAATCAGCTCAGAAAAACAAGCAAGATCATAGGTGTGGTGGATTAACTAATGGTCAACTTGGAAAGTCCAGCTGAACTGAGTCAGTGTGGTCTGGATGTGGAGAACCCACTTGAGGATTGTTGCCAATGGCAAATAAGAGACCTGGAGGGGAAGATTATGTTTGCTGCTGATTTTCCTGGGAAGGCTTGCTGTGGCAGCAGGTTTTCCTGATGTGAACTCCACCGTTCTCATTGTCGGAGGTGCTCAGGGCCTTGCTGTCTCAGGGCATGGAGCTGTTCTCCTCAGGGGAGCTCTGGTCTTCACCACAAGTGCTGCTTCCTGGCTCCAGGGAAGATCCTTCAGCCTGGTGGTACAGACACTTCACCCCACCAGCACAGGCTTTCTGGCTTCCACTGCTGGCCTTTGCGCCTTCCTGAGGCAGATCTTCAATATGGACTTGCATGAGACATTGCCGTGGGCTCCAGGCCTCTTGCTGGACTTCTGCAGGACATTGCTGTGGGCTCTAGGCCTGCAACTGGACTTGTGTGGGACATTGCAGTGGAACTCAGGCCCTCTGCTGGATTCTTTGGGTCCCTAGTGTGAGGACAGACAGGTCTCTTGCACTCCTCTGCATTTAATTTTTTTGGTGAATGTTATAAAATAATTCTATAAATTTATTTCCTGAATTAAATCTATTCCCTTGCAAACGCTGACCACAACAAAAGGGACACAGAGTGGAGACCACAAAGGGAGCCAGTGCAGTAGAGCACGCCTGCCATACCAGCTCTCTGGGAGGCTGAGGCAGGAGGATCGAAAGTTCAAGGTCAGCCTTGGCAATTTCCTGTCTTACGATTAAAAAGTATATAAAGGGTTGGGGATGTAGCTCAGTGAGAAGGTTCTGGGTTCAATCCCCAGTACCAAAAAAAACAATAACAGGGATGAGGACTAAAGCGAGGAGCCACTGATGAATACCATCACAAGTTGGCCCCTTGGCCCCACCCATTCCACTCATTCCTGTCTCCAGAGATTTTGGATTGACGGGCGGCCAGCTACTTTCTGCTGAACTGGGCTCAGATCCCAGCTTAGGGAGTGAAGTACTTCAGCCCAAGTTAGGCAACAGGGCAGCTCCTGGCAGGGTGGAAACAGCTCCAAATGCTTTGCTGCAACCAGGCCTGTGCTAGAGCCAGGGAGGAAAGCACCACTGTTAGAAGTGGAAGACAGCCGGGGATGTAGCTCAGTGGTTCGGTGGCCTGCCTTGCAAGGACCAGAGTTCAATCCCCAGTACAAAAAAAAAAAAAAAAAAAAAAAAAAGAAAA